GTAATTATTGGAGGTGGCCGTGAGATATTAATCGAGCTACAGTTATACTTTTTATACTTAGATAACATAGACATCGAGAAGATATATCGTTGTTAACTTTGTCAATATCATATACATGTTGGATTGTTGGATTTATGTCCTATAAACAGCTTTGGTCATTTAAGGACGTGCACGGCATAAAGCTGAAAGGTCAAAGGTCAAAATGATTCTTACAGACCTGAAATCCATGTACCTGCTGAATGTTTTATAACACGAAATGTGTAGTCTTTGAGCAATGTAAAAATGAATGTGCCGAGTTAATGTTAATGCAGATGTGTTTATTATCTTAAGTAATTTAATGTCACAGGTTTTGGGGAAGTTAAATTTCAGAAAGTCAGCCCTCAACGTGTTTACTTGGACAAGTATGATATTGAACAATCATATAACTATTATTATCACGCACAAATGTGTAGGCTTTGGTGCCAAATCGGCGACAGTTCAGTTCATATTTAGTAATTTCCTGAGAGGTGATAAGTTGGACAAGGTTAAAGGTCAGATTTAAAGCGCTAGGAAAACGGAGTTATCGGATAGTTTTTGTAATTGTTTAGCTAAGGTAAAATATTTAAACAATATGGGAGATTCTGTGTAGTTTCCCCCTTCTTGATGAATTTTGTTATAAATAGGACCGTTTGTTTTTCTGTAAGGGAGATGGATTTGGAACTATCAGGGCGTCACTAAACTTTTGAACACTCTTTCTGGTTCGGGGGAATAAGCCTGATATATCCAGCTGGAATGTCGTAAGATACGACTCATGCAAGGGCCCGTGCAAATTTCGATTTTTCTTCGGTGTCTTTTGCTGAAGTAACATCGAAGAAAACACAATTTACCTGCTGTCCAAATTGCTTCACTCGGGGTCTGTTTATTTTCGTTTTCTCACGTCCATAACCTTTCTCTTCCGGCGGTGTCTCCATAGGCACCTGTCTTCACGAGACCTTAGCTGTTGCAAGAACGTACAACCTGTAAAAACAAAAAACGAACAACCAAATAAAACTTCTAACATATTTACAACTTTCAACAGCAACCGCGAGAGCGTCTGTTTGACCATAGGTAGCAGTGTACAGTAGCGTACGGTGGCCATGGATGATATTTTTGTACAATGAATAACCCATTTCTATATTACATGTATTAAAAGTAAAAAAAAAAAATCAGCTCTAAAATTGGCATATATATGATGGATTGGACTTTGTGGGTTTCACATTTTAAAAAAATGAATTTGGCTTGAGACAACATTTTTTGCCATTTACGAATCTGTGTCTACACAAAAAAAGCTAGCTTTTCATGTAGTCTATTTTTGTACTCAGCACATGTGTAAATATTGTGAAAAATCTAGTTTGGCGACCTAAGCTTAAACGTGAGTATCTGTGACCGAGTAGATGATATTTAATTCAAGACAGGGTTTAAGAAAAAAAATACTACTTGCGTGGGTCACATTTTGGGTTAAAAATCATGGGTTTTTTTTTGCATTTTTTGGCGTGTTTTTGAGGTGGCAGCCATGGTTTTCACAAGTCCCAAATCTGGGGAAATCAATTTTTGAAAAAATATTCATTCTTCTAAAAAAAACGTATTCAAAATTTAGCTTATAAATATAATTATATATATATGTAGGTGTGGTGTGTAGGATGAATCCGCTATCCATGTTCATCCGAGACATGCCCTTTATTTTTAGGGTCAAACCATTTCTAGTGTACTCTGCTACCATAGTAAAGGGTAAATCACTTTAAGATTTAAAATTGTTACGTTTTGTATTACTATTTGGCTTGTTAGACTGTATCTTCTATAAACTTTTGTGCAAGAACTTCAAGAGACTTCTCGTTCCTTGTTACATCAACATCATAAGTTATATACACTGCAGATCCCGACGTTGTACACTAGTTACCTTTAACTCAAGTACAAAAGGTTATAACCTCGAATGCACAAGATTCAGAACTCGTGTGCAAAAGCATTTCGGGAAATGGCGATAACTTGTTGTCAGTATAATCTGAATGGATGAAATGCTTTGATGGATGCCTTTGGCATGGTCAGTGAGATAACACAGTCGGCATCAGATCCGCGATATCACCAGGAGGCAAGTTCACCGACATAACCCGTCTCCGGCACACATACGTTACACACATGGAGGCGCGTCCTAAAATGATCTTAGCTTTTAAATGGACGTTTAACAAAATACAACCAAACTTATGCAAAAGGTTGGAACTCTAGGCCCATTTTCATGAAACAGTAATCATGCTCATCCATGGATTATATGATCAAATCATATCTTTTTGTAACTCGCCCCAATCATGTGTGAGACAATCTAAAAGTCAAGTGAATTAAGTTAGAACAGTATTCTGCGTTAATTCCTCCAATATTCTTCCAAATCGCTGACAAAACGTCTTCTTTTTAGAATTATCTCAAAACAGAAAAAAAAAGAATTTGGGCTTGAACATAGAAACTGAACTTGAGCGTGACAGTTTCATGAATACGGGCCCAAGGGTTTTACTTGTCTTCTCTTCTATTTCAACAGTAATTTAGACCAATTTTGACTTCCAACGTTTTGGCCCCTAACATCACCGATGAGTCCTAGAAGGACGAAGCAGCCGTATGATGTCGTGGTATTCACTGTTGCGATACTGTATTTATTACCAATTATATAATTATTATAATTATGTATTAAATACATGCATATCATATAATACTCCAATAGCCATAGTACGGTATTTTTAAAATATACTGTTATAAAAGTTTTATTTTCAAATATTTTATTTCCCCTAGCCAAATATTATATATATTGTTCAAATGTGATGCAACAGATATAAAGATTGAGTTTGTTTTAGGAAATTACTCATTGGTGCCGTGGTGGGCTAGTGGTTAAGGCGTCTGATCGTCTACGATCACTAGCCTTCACCACTAGGTCGTGAGTTCGATTGCTTTCTTTTTCTGCGGGTACTCCGGTTTTCCTCTAACACCAAAACCTGACACATCCTTAAGGATCTTCATACAAGTGCAAAATACTGTAAATATTTGTTGGAAATTGTTTTTGGAAAAAAAGCCATCATATCTTGCAGGACTTTTATGAGAAATGATAAAGCCAAAAAATTCAAAATGTAATCAACACCAATATCAACAATTGGATCAACAATTGGTGTTGTAAATGTTTTTTCTTTCTTTTCTATAATAACTCGAGGTTCTGATATACCGCTTTATCACAACCGAGTTCGTAGGTCGTCTCAAAGCGGTTCACATATTATTACGCGTGGTTAAAGGGCCTTTTGAACAAACACATATCTTTCTCAACTCCCTGGGGAGCATACAGCCGGTGCTCCCATTTCGGCGCTTATAGCTAGAATCTAACAATTCTAGCACTGCCCAACCACGTACTCATTAACAGCTGAATAGACTGGGATACGCGGAGTAAAGTATCTTGCTCAAAGATACAACACAGTGCCATGCCGAGACTTGAACCCGCAACCCTTCGGTCACGAGCCCGGCATCCTACCACTAGACCCTTGCGCCTCCTAAAATCGTTTAGGCTGGACGGGATTTCAACCATGTACTGATTGATATATATAACTATCGCTCATACAAACTTCGCTTCTTTTACAACGGAAATGTCATAGCCCAACTGTGCTACAGGTATAGCCAAACAGAAGGTAAGGGGAAGAAACTGTATATATACGAAAAACTACAGAGCATAGAGACATGTCTCTTGGGTTGGGTGTTGCTATTTGTTTAATCATATACATCTTTTGTGGGTTGATGATTTGATATTTACAAGAAATATAACATTCTGTAAAATAACACTGTGCACAGGGTAAATACGGTACATCAGTTCGAGGCATTGCCAGTACCAGGTGTTGTTCTTATAAGATTTTTAGTTTGGATTTAGGTGACTATACATTGTACAAATGTCATTAAATTAAAATGATATATTCACATCACTCCAGTTTGATGATGTTTCGCGACATACATTGTATCAGTAAACGGGAGCGATGTGAAGATTACATTTTAATTATTTTGAATGTTCTACGTATGTATACAGTTAGTGTAACTAATTTTATTTTGTACATTGTTCTTAAAATAACATTTTAGGTGAATAATACGATGGCAATGTTTGTTCTGTATGTACATATAACTGGACATGATACATGTATTCTTATTTAATTATCACAAGTGACACAAGAGCACGTATACCTCGGCATTGTACATCGGTTCTGTGATGAACTAAGATATACAAATACGATTGTACCAATGAAAGTATGTATTAGATACAGTTTGCCTTCCGCATGGTAGTTCAGTGAGATAGCACTATAAAGTCGGCATCAGATCCGTGATATCACAAGGAGGTGAGTACAACAACATACCCTGTCTCCAGCACTCATACACGCATACACAACGCACATGGAGTCACGTCCTTGCATGACCTTTGCTGTTAATAGGACGTTGAACATAATAAAACCAAAACCAAACCAGTATGCCAAAAATGAATTGCACGACAGTAACATTTTCATATAGTGCCCCTTATTCATTTGCCACCTCGTTTACCGTCAACATACATTTCAATGTCCCTTTTTATCGTTTTTGTTAAGGTTTCCTTTATGCACTTCCCCCAATTCATCGCCAAACCCCTTTATAACGCGAAAATATATGTGGACACGTTCTGACAGTATAACGAGATTTTATGTACATGTCACATCTTGTTTAAGGTATGTTTATTTCACGTAAACTGCTAGTTCTAAACGAATACGTCAAGCTGTTTCAGTCCAAAGAGCCGAAAGTGTTTTACTTGTATACTGCAGACGTCCAGAAAATTACATTCAGATTTATCAATGCTGTTGGTATATAGTCCATATAGACTACTTACAACCGTAGCGATAAATTCTTACTACACTATACATTAGAATAAATATCATATCGCCGCTATCGCATTCCAATGCGCAGGGAGACATGGATATAATTTATCAGGGGGGTAAATACACACTGCACTGTAGGCTATTCAGTGACCTATTTAAGGTTCAGCGCTGCACATTATTCGTAAGTACGTAGTGTATTTCGTATACGCTAATTAGTTATGTGTTGCATGGACGCAAATAGTTTCAAAAAAATGCATTTATCAATTGTATAGTGTTTATATGTAGTCGCTAAGCTTAACTTAAACAGCAACATGCTATGTAACTGTGAACGAGTGTTGTGTATGTCATGTTATTTCCTACCCCGTTATTTTAATACCCCGGACAAAAACGACGTGACCTATTTATAAATGTGAAAAGGGCATTTTAAGCAGCCAAACAGATATGCCATGACGTGACATGAGAATTTCACATTGTCATTTTATATTGATATAATGGGTTCTATGGCGATAAACGACCTTTTTAAAACCTCCTTTACTTATTGTTCGTGCGATCTTGATAAAATTTGGCACACAACCAGAAAACCATTCACGCATACATTATACACACGGAAGTATGCCATTGAATGATATAAGCTGTTTATAGGACGTTAAACAAAATAAAACAAAATAAAACCAGTCAATGTTTACGTCCGATCTGAGAATCTAATCCCGACCGTCTTGTTGAAAGGCTGATGCGTTATCCAATGCGCAACCCGACTAGATGATGAAATGCTTCATATAGTAGCATAAAGGGAGTGATTCGTCCCGGGAGTCCTGCAGAAATATAATGCACATGGGTTAAGCACTATCACGTTTGTTCAAACCAATATCCTTGACCCACATTCACGGTTAACGAGGTCAGGTAATTTCTTGTGCAAAATCAAAAGGTACAAAGTAGTGATAATTGTCTTTAATATTACAAGTTTATACAGGATTAGTGAATTAGTGAAATGTGTGAACAAGCTTATACAATTCTTTTACAAATATAATAATATTTGACACGCAGCTTGCTAGCCTTTATGTTAATTACTAGTGTAACGATGGTTAAATATAGAGAACTTACACATAGCTACGTTTTAGTATCATATATTTAAGCACTACACTTAAGTTTGCAAGTGTTCAGCATTTATAATTAGAAAGGGTTTATAAGAATTATCAGAGTCGAAGGAAAGACGAGTCTGACGTTGCATATGGTAGAGAAGTCATGAGGGATTAATAGGAATACTTTGATTTGCTTTTATTTCGTTAAACGTGCTATTAGCAGCTAAGTTCATTTAAGGACGTGATTTCGTGTTTGTAATGTATACATGCATGTGCACTGCGGGCAGCCGGATATGTCGATGAAATTGCCTCCTTTTGTAATAGCGCAGATCTGATGCCCAAATAATAGTGCTACCTCACTATCAATAAATACCATGCCGAAGGCACCCATCACAGCATTCCGCCCGGTCACATTATACTGACCACGGATTTAACAGTTGTTGTCATATATACACACAAAGGTCGTTGATATATTCCTTAAGGTTTGGGGAAAGTATAAGCCTGATGTATTGTTAAATATGATCAATAAACCTCTACTTTATTTACTCGATATAAAAGTAATTGGTTAAGTCGAACATATCCCCACTTTTGCCTGACTGTGTTTTAGTCCTGTGTGTTAGTCTGGGAACTAAAACACACCTACACTCGGGTGTTTCCGCCGAGACAATCAGGCGAGAGATGGGCGAAGCATCAGTGTGTATCGGTATCATAAAACGGTTAAAGTATGGGGTTGAGGGATATAGCAAGTTTTTGGTGTCCCTTGACCATGCCTACTTCCCTCGGCTTAACAGTATACTAATGTGACCTCCTGCGGAATCGAGGGTTTTCTTTTGTGGCTTCTGCTAAGGGGGACACTGAGATAGATATGCTGCCCCCGATTTCAACATTTGGATTCTTCATATTTTTTCTCTTCTTCCTGACTAACTTTTTATTTTCGATTCCTCGCTTGGCAAGTCCTTGGCTTGGCCTTAATTTGGAAGTTCGCACAAGTGAGGTAGACCATGTGTTCTGTCCCCAGTCCGGGACTTATCCAAGTCCTTAACAATTATAGTTTTTATTACCTACTTAATGTTCAGCATTTAGTGTATAATGTGACTGGGTGACATGCTGTGCTGCGTGCCTACGGTATGGTATTTCAGTGAGGTGAATACACAGATATATATACCATGCCTCCAGAACACATACGCACACGTACATGCATACATTACACGCATGGAGGCATGGCATTTCAGTGAGGTAGCACTCTAAAGTCGTCCTCATATTCGCACTATCGCAAAGTGGAAAATGCATCAATATATCCTGCCTCCGGCACACATACACACATGCACACATTCACACATACACACATACACACATGCATGCTCACATTACTCAAATGGAGGCACGTCCTTACATGGTGTTAACTGTTCATAGGACGATTAACAAAATAAAAGCAATCCAATTGCATACTCAACTGTATGTTCTTATATTACGATTGATAATTTTGAATACACGATGACATAAATATTTAGACATACATGATGCACTATTATTAATTTGTTATGTCGATATCATGATCACTAGTCTGGAATTTTCCCGAGTCTCTTCAAGGGCGTCGTACAGGTACGCTAGTGTATATATTATTATGGAGAAAGAGTTCAAATGGAATGCAATGACAAGTTTTCAACATTTATTAAAATGAAATTTATTTTATTTACAGGTAAGATAAATACTCATTAACATAATCAACATGAGTGGATTTGCTTGTTACGACGATGCGCATGATCAAAAATACGATAAACCACACCCGGTTCCTCTTGTGGTAGCCAACAAAGACACACTAAAAGGATACGGAACGATTGTTACTGACTTTGAAAAAACGAAAGTTGAGATAACCCCATGGCTGGTAAATGGATGGCGAGAGTTGTGTCCAAACACCGGAAGTGGAGGAGGCATTGTAAGTGGGGACTTCATTTACAAATGGGAAGGAGACCTTTGCAAAGCCGTCAACAAGGCTGTTGGTGGGGACTATGTCACAGGACGACTTCCGCCGGAAGCGGATACAAAGAATCGCAAATGCGTACTTACACGAGAAGCTAATTACCATCCAGATGGAGGTCAAGTGTTCTTTCCACAAAATGGTGATGCCTTTGTCGCGCTTTTAGCTCTACCCGGAGACGACATCAAACCGGAGGATTTTGTAGCGTTTTATTTCGATGGATCTTTTGGGGTTCAGATTCACGCAAACATCTGGCACCAACCTGTTTACCCCATAAACGATGACGCAGTGTTTCTGGGTAAACAAGGGGCGATTTATGCTTGCGTATGCGTTGATACTGCGAACGAATTTAACAAGTATCTTTCAGTCCCTCTGACATTGGACACGTAAGATCGAGTAACAATTGAATTGCTGAGAAGTTCGAATTCAACATTCAGTTAATTGGAATTTACAAATAACTCGATTTGAATTTACCATATTCCGACTTTTGACAGAATGGTTATATCTCAACATGGAGGACAGACTATATATCTGGAGAGGGACAGAATACTTATAGATCCGCAACTGAGATAGAATGCAAAGATCTTCTCAAGTCAGAGAGAATAAATATTTACTTATCCACAAGTGGGACAAAATTATTGCGAAGTACAAGTTATTGTTGTTTTACGATTATATTCAAGTTTATATTAAATGCTGTAGTATACATTACAAGTAGAATTCATCATTTTCTTATAGAAACCATATCAACATGTTTTTTATTAGATTTAATTATAAAAAAAGATATCTTCGAACTTTAGATGAACCTGAAAATTGATATTGACGAGATGAATGTTTAAATATTTTCATTATAAAATAAAATAAGATGGAACGTTGTGAAATGGTGAAGAGAAAAAGTACTGTTGGTTTGTTTAAGCCCGACTTTTCCCTGTGTTTGAGTAGCCCGTCCAGAATTCCATTCGTCTGTCTGAAATCTGTATCTCTCACGATGTCAATGTTCCTATGAATATCGGGTAAATGTCTGTTTCTTATAGATTTCAACAAATTTTATTAGACAAAAACAATTGAACAAATGAATTAGACAACAGGCTTAGCTTATATAAGTCTTCTCCTAATCGGTATAGATGGACAGAAAACATAAATGCAATACATAACTCAACAAGACACTCATATACACTTACAAACATATAGGCTAGAACATTCAACCAAGTTATAATTACAAGAAAGAAAAAGAAACACTATTTGATGACATTTGATAACTTATACAATACTTTGTTAGCATATCATACATATGTTTGTAAAATCAGACCACATTCTATAACACACGTACACACAGACCCTCAAACACACCCACACATATATAAATACGCATTCGCACACATACACACACACGCATACACAAATAACACAAGTCCTTACTCAAAACGCATGTTGAATAAATAAATAACCTATATAAAAGGCAATGACACCTGTCCTAATTCAAATTTTATCTGTTAGTAGCAGATATGTGAACTTTTGAGAGAATAAATAAAGTATCATCAGTAGATAGATAAGTATTACTAGATGTAAGTAGATCAACTTATGCATATCAAAAATGGTTAGTGATGTCAGTTATGAAATGTAGTATAGCATTTTCACAAGAGCAAGATGGATCAATTATCAAGTGATCATTGAATTTATCAAAATTCAAATCGCTAGCATTCTTACGTAATTGACACAATGATTTATTTAGTTTTCTTGGATTACATGTGATGAAGTCTTCAGAAATGTTCCTGGGAGGTATTTGAGTTTTGTTAATTTTCTTTAACTGAACTGATAGTCAGAGAAGAAGTGACAGCGTGCTCGAGATTGTTCCATAGGCGCATGACACCAAGAGAGAAACTACGGTTGTAGATGCAAAATCTAGATTGAGGAATGTTAAAAATATATTTGTCCGTAGATGGTTAATTAAATATGACTTTTTAGCACAATGTTTCAATGGTACAGCCATCTCTATCAAATGCCTCAATGTTTATGTCCATCACTAAGGAAACTACCTTATGACGTCATAATTTCCCGAACTAATTTCTTATTCCTTTTTATTTAATTGGTTGAGAGTACCAAATTTATCAATATAAAATATCTCCCTCTCACGCCCATATATCACTCCGGGCTCCTTAACCATTTCTATTCCTGCAATTTTGAGATCCTTTACTGTGTGCCAGTTGTTGTTGAAGTGTAGTGGTACCGAATTAAATGCGTCTCCAGATCTAATCAGATGTTGGTGTCCTTGAATTATTTCTTTTATCATATTTGATGTTTCTCCGATGTATATGTAAATCTAAAGATTTCCTGTCAATTTTATGTTTTAGCATACGCAGAATATTTTATCTTTTACATATTTTATCATTATTATATTTAACATGATCATCCCAAGAACCATTTTAATTAAATACTACGCCGAGATGTTTATGAGAGCTATTTTCATGCATTATCTGATTATCAAATATAAATAAGGGATGCTGTCAATTTTTCCTAGTTACAGTTAATAGTTTTTTGAGGATTTCCAGAATTTATCCCAATATTAATGAATTCAAGATCGTCGTTAAGTTCTTCAGCTGGAGAAGTTACATCTTTGTCAACAGTTACATAAAGAGAGGTATCATCAGCAAAAAGTTTTACATTGGTGTTAATTTCATGAGAAATATCATTAATGAATAAAAGAAATAAAAAATGGACCAAGAACAGAACTTTGTGGGACACCAGCAGAAACTGATTTAAAATTAGAAACATAACCTTCAAATATAACACGTGTTCAAACCATTTAGAAAGATTACCAGAGAAGCTTATATAGAAGTCCTTTATGCCATACCCTATCGAATGCTTTGCTAATATCACAGAAACTATCTTATACTTTACCTTTATCTAAATTGTCAATAATTGCAGGGGCGGATACAGCATTTTTTGAACGGGGGGCGCGCTCCCGGTAAATGTCTCCATTCCTTTGTATGTTATGGCTGAATACACTTCTAATCTACTTTAATTTACCACTATAAAATAAAAATAAATGGATTAATTTTTGTTATTGAAAATCGCTATATCTATTGGTTATTACAAAAAACTGTTGGTTGAACAGTTTTTGTTTTTGAAAGCATTTCACGACTTTGGAAGCCGTTGAAAAACGAGACATCAGAAGAAACTCGATTTCGGGTTTTTTTCAATCCTTATGAAACTGGTACATTATTATACTGAAGTGGAAATTCGTACAAAAATAAGTGTAATAATACCATAAATTTAACAGAGGTTTGAGAAATGCAAATCAACATCAAGGAGAGTCTCAAAATTAAAGCAGTTGTCTTCAAGTTCAAGTACTTTTAAAATTAACTTGAGGCTTACGGTTCATCGGTTCAAAATACAACATAAAATATATACAGTAACACAAGAGTACAGCATGATCACCCTACTTTTGATACAATCAATATCATAACCATACAAAATCCATATGCACCCAAACCCACTCATAAGCGCAAATATGTCACTCAATCATAAAACATATTGCCGCTTGTCATTCGTCTCGGGAACTTCTTGAAAAATAGTTTCACAATCTGCGAGTAACATAGTGGTATGTCTTTGTGAACGAACATCAGTTTTAAGTTCGACAATCTGCTCTGTCCCATGCTGCTCCTGAGCGACGTCTTGATGTATTTCAAGGCAGAGTTTCCTCGCTCAACAGTAGCACTGGACACTGGCATTACGAGCAAGATACTGAAAATGGTGTGAATATTTGGGTACATGTGCTTGTTCGTAGTTTCCAATGCATCGTGAAGCGTGGATGGACGTGTCGCTGTCAGGCTCTCACTCCATTTCCTCTTCCACAGACGTATTTCTTGGTCAAACGTGTGTTTATAGGGCAAATCATTTCCAAAGTACTCCTTGACCTGTTCCACATCGTCGTTCGTCAGTGAGTCCAGAAAAATGTGGAAGCAGATGAACAGCCCGTATAGCTTTAGTAGCCATAGGTCTAAACCTAGATTCCAGTTCGGAAATGATATGGTCCAATAAAGAATGAAGGTAGAACACCGCCAGTAGTCTACTGGCTCTTCCATGTCGAGGTTGTCTCGTGTCGTCTGTCTGCCGCATCGCCTAGGAATGACCATGGCTTTCACATCGGCGTCGGTGGCCATCATTGATGCCTGTTGCCAAACATTCTCATCAAATTCCTTTTCTGAATTTCCCCTGCATGACTTAAGCTCATCAATGACGAGTCCCACTTCCTGATAAGCAGTCAGCATATCCTGTATAGTACTCTGAAGGAGAAGACTGAGTGCCTTCGTGTAACCAAATAGGTACTTTGTAGAGCAAAATGACACCAGGAAGCTTGGGGTGATACGGCAGCGTGAAGGCCCTTCGCCTCCAACATGCCTTTTGGATCCCATTTACCAGATGCGTTGTCGCTTATGTGCTGTTGGCAATCCAACAGTGCCACAAAGATTTCCTCAAATTCCTCCAGAGATGTGTGTCGTTCCAACCACCTGGTTTCACACATGGGTTTTACAGTTTTGTGCTTGATCATAGATCCTCCATCTACTTCTCTCTGTGAATTCACATCAGTTACCGATGACTCCAGCTGTCGCTGGCGTTTTGGTGAGTACTTAAAGTATATTCCGATTTCTTTTACTGTTGCCAACATGCACTGTATGCTTCGTTCTTTACATCCCGCACTTAGCGCAAGATTCAGAACGTGGTTTGCACAGTGGAAGTATTGCCCCCGCGGATACAATTCTTGGAACCGTGCGCGGCATCCTTTGTTCTTACCCGACATGTTTCCTGCCCCGTCATACGGCTGTGCGCGACAACGGCTTGGATCGAGATTGGCGGATTTCAAAGATTCCATAATTGCTTTGCAAATTTCTTCCCCTGTCGTCGACTCACAGTTGACGTATTGAAGAAGCCTTTCCACGGGCTGGTTATTTTTCAGGTAACGTAAAGCTAGCCTCAGTTGTTCCCAGTTACTCACATCTCTGACCTCATCTGCTTCGATTCCAAAGTATAAATGATCCTGGCTGTTGATCTCTGAAACTATCACACCTGTGATGTAGTCCCCGATGCAATCGATAATGTCATTTTGTGATGTCTTCGACATGTATGTCGCATTTTTGGGACAGTGATCAATATGCTCCTTTAGTATGGTATCCGTCTTGACCCGAAGATCTATCAGTGCCCTGAAAATGCCTCGTTTGTTTCCTATGACCACGAAGTAATATTCCCTGCCTTCCACACAATTATATGCACTTTATTATAGGGACAAGGAATTTTGCGTTTTTCTCAGCATTAGATGTGGCCTCCTCGGACAAAGTAGTGTCGATTCTTTTTGCGGGATCTTTGTTGGTTTGTTGGAAATTTTCAAAGAAGGCATATGCGTTCTTGTGGTAATTGCAGTCAGAATGATTCTTAATACCCTCTTTGAAGTGCTTCCAGTTGCGAAATGGTTTTCCTTGAAATTGATCGCGTCTTTAAAATTTGTGTTCTGTCGGAAAAAGTACGCACGCAAGGCAAAACACGGCATCTTCTCTTTCAGAGTAAGCAAGGAAGTCGTTCTGAAGAAGCCAGTCTTCGGTGGCGGGGAAGGAAAAGTCGTGTGATGGCAGTATATTAGATATAATATTTTGTTTTGTGTTATCATCCACTTGGCTATGGGTGCCGTTCGAGATAAATCTAGCGATGTCACTTTCCACTGGCCCGGATTCAGTCCTGGCTCTTTTGGCAGGCAGTGTTGGGTCAACGTTCTGAGTTTGGGGAACTCGCCTGCAGTGATAATGAGGCGTTGATCCGTACGTTTATAATACAAAGAGTACGCTGACAAGAACATGTGTTTCC